AGGTCTGGACTGGCCCTGCCGCCCCGAGCTGCCAGCGGCACAGGTCACACAGCCTCCTCTCACCAACACGTGGTCGACCCCTGTTGTGGACACTCTTGTCCCTCCTCCCATTGTGTGGACGGGCTCGTGGTCCGCCTCCACGGTGACCGACAGGATCGCGCTACTCCGAGCATCCCCGCACGTGTCCTTGGTGCCTGTAACTCCCTGCGGGGAGGAGGACTGGGGGTCCTCGCCAAGGCATGTGGGGGTCTCCCAGCATGGCTGCCTGTTTCCCACGTGCACACTTGGGCTGGTGTGCAGCCGTGGGCCAACGTCCTTGCACGTGGCAGTGGCTGCCCTCTGCACCTTCTTACTGATCTGTGAGGTGTCCTTACGGGATCTGGACACGCCCGGCCGGCCACCTGGATGACAGCAGTCTGGGTGCTGTGGGGCCCACGTTTCCGCTCTGTGAGGATCAGAAACCACTTTGGCACTTTCTTCAGGAAGGCCTTCGAGGCCATGAGGGAATGCCTAGCCACCATTTTTAGGGTAAATCTGTCTTGCGGCCCCTTGACTCTAGGCTGTGCTCCCGCAAGCTTGGGGCTTCCCTGATGGCGTCCCCACATACCCAGGCCCAGCCCAGCGCAGGGGTCCCCTGGCATGTCCTGTGGGTCTGCAGGGGGCTCTGTGGCAGGCTGAGGGGTGAACCCCGGCCTGCCTCATCACATCCTGATGGATCTGGGAGTCACTCCGGAACCTGGGAGTCATGTGGGAGGCCTTTAGAGGGAGCAGTGGCTGGGAACTGCCTGCATGTGGACCTTGGGGGGACAACGAGGCGTTTGTGCCTTAAGGGAAGTCAGGAGCGCCAAAAAGCCCAAAGCCAGACACTCTTGTCCCCACCTTGCCCATTCCCAGGAACTCCCTGGGGGACGTCCAGGGGAATGGGGTGCTCCTGGCTCCTTGACAGTCCGTGAAGCAGGAGCCATGCGGGGAGCCACACGGCAGTGCCCAGGAGCGTGGGCGAAGGGCCCCGGGGAGCAGGGTCTGGGGGAGGGGCAGACAAGAGAGTCCTGGTACGAAGCCCTGTTGTTGACGGTTTCTGTGGCTCCTGACCACCATCCATGACCCCAGCTCCCGCGGGAGGGGCTGAGGCCAGCACACTGACTGTCGTGGGCCCCAGGACATTTGTCGTGGGGAGACGGGCAGGAATGGATACAGAGGTCACTCTGAGGCTACGTGGCTTCAGACATTTCTGGGGGTGGGGGTGCATCGTCCAGCCGACGGCCCTCAGGGGCCTGGGGAGTGCCATGTGGGTGCGGGGAGGCCTAAGGGTCCTTGCCTGGGCCTGGTGCTGGCTTAGGGCTGTGGGTGCCCTGCATCCAGGCTGAGGTGGGGGGGGTGTGGGGAGGAGGTGGCCGCAGCCGTCAGGGACCAGCATCTCAGCTCGGTTGTCCACAGGCTTTCAAACCCCACCTGTGTTGCAAGAGGCTTCTCGAGTTTCCACCAAGATTTATCTGAAAAGAAGTGACATTTATTTGAAAAGAAGTGACGTGTGAAACCAGAACAGGGTGTGAAGCCAAAGCGGTGTTTTGGCGTCTCTCGCTCTGAAGAGGGTGGGAAGGAAGCCTTTGTTATGTAAACAACGAGGTGGGAAGAGGGGCACAGGATTCCCACCAGCTCCCAGCAGAGGGGAGCCCTGGGGGCGGTAGGAAGGCCTCCTGCCAGCCAGCCTTGTGGGGTGCCCGGCCGTGGCTGAAGGGGAATCCTGTTCTGTGAAAGGCTTATAAAGCCTGGTTAGCGCTTTCTAACTTCCAGGGCCTCTTACCGTTACTGGCTTATCTCACAAAACACAGCCCGGCACGGTCTCCGGAGCTCAGGAGGTGGGATGGCGGCTTCCTGGCTTCCGACTCCAGGCTGCAGGCCCTCCCTCGGCACCGCCTGGGCCAGTGGCCCCAGAGTCCCCCGCAGGACGTCCTGAGGTGGGGACAGCTGGCCGTGGCCATGAGAACCTTCCAGGGGGCAGTGGAGGTCATGCATAGCTTAGTGTTTTTAACATACAGCCATTTGTCTCTTGAAAACGAGGAGATTTTCCTAGAGCTGTAAAATTACCTTATTTTTTTAAAAGATTTTATTTATTTGACAGACAGAGATCACAAGTAGGCAGAGAGGCAGGCAGAGAGAGACAGAGAGGCAGGCTCCCCGCTGAGCAGAGAGCCCGATGCTGGACTCGATCCCAGGACCCTGAGATCATGACCTGAGCCAAAGGCAGAGGCTTAACCCATTGAGCCACCCAAGAGCCCCTAAAATTATCTTATTTTGAAAGATTTCCAAGCTACAGAAAAGTGCAAGACTAGTGTGAGGGCTGTCACACCACCCAGATGGTCCCATAACGTCCTTCACAGCTGTCCCTGGTCTGGCCTGGCCGGTTCTTGCTTCTGTGTCCTCAGGTGACAATGACGTGTTGGAGGAGTGAGGCCATTGTTTGCAGAACCCCAGACAGGTTCAGTGCTCGGGACAGAGAGCCTGCCCTGCCCCCCTCAGGGCCGGAGTCATGTCCCCAGGGCAGGCTGCAGGGCATCCAGGAAGCCACCCAGATGCCAGCGGTCACAGGGCCGGTCACAGGGTGTGCGCTTGGGGCCCGAAGGCTCCCGTTTGCAGCCGGGGCGGGGGAGGGGCAGATGCCCGGTTCTGGCCTGCCCGTCCACACCCCCTCCCACCGCCTGCACTTCAGCAGCCCCTTCCTGAGCCTCAGCAGGACGGACCGACTGCGGACCTCAGAGGCCACAACGGCCCTGGGTGGCGCCGCAGAGAGAATGCTGCCCGCCCTGCCAGCCAGGAGAGTCCAGTAGCCACAGAGCCATGAAAGGCTCCTGAAGTGACCTCTCCCGTCCCGGACTTCTGTACCCTGCTGTCCTTGTACTGCCCCGGCCAGGGACGGCTCAACGAACACGGTCTGCTCAGAAGAAGACACTTGGTTTTAAGTGAAGGGGTCTCCCGCCCCTCCTCCCACCTCTTGAGCCTCTCAGGTTCCTTCTGCTCTCCCTCTCTCCTCCTGCCTCCCCTCCTTTCTTCCCTGCCCCTCATTTCCTCCCTCTCCCCCCCCCCCCCCCCTCCTGTGGGCCTCACAATCAGTGCAGGAGTGTCCTAGGGCATCTTCTCCCTTTGGGGCAAGAGGTAGCCTTTTCCTTAGGACTGGCCCAGGCCCACACTTCCTGGGAGAGGTGGTCTCAGCCTCCCAGGGCTGGTATCTGCCCTGGACCCCGGGGCAGTCAGCACCCCGTCCCTCGCCCATCCTCCCTGGTGGGTCCCAACAGCACGCTCCCAGCTCCCAGCCGGGAAGGATGAGCAGAACTCTGGGGACATGAGAGTTGGAGGATCTTCCATAGGCCGTGAAAAAGAGAGAAGAGAGCCCCCCCAACCCCCCAGCCACCTGAGAATGACCCTGCACCTCTGGGGCTCACGTCCTCATCCTAAAGTGAAGGCTGGGCTCCTCTGGGGCGCTCCTGCAGTCACCGGGGCTCAGGGCCAGGCAAACCTCCATTCGCACACGCCCACCCTTAAGCACTGTGCTCTGCAGTCTTGCTGATGGACCCCAGACTTCTTCAACGAAGCTGGCCTTCCCCGAGCAGGACACCTGAAAACCCTTCTGTCCTTTGGGGGGGTGGCCTTCTCCCCACCTTTCTTGCTGCTGCCCCAGGAGGGCAGCTGAGGGCACCTCTGCCATCTGACACTCCCAACCCCTGCCACGGGACCGTATCTGTCCGTATCTCTCCGTGGAGACTGGGCCAGGAGGGTTCCCGAGTGCAGTCCCGCTGGCTTGGGGCCCCTGGGGAAGCTGGTGCTAGTGCTGGCTGGGGTGCTGGTGCCGGCTGGGGCGGGAGCCTGGGACAGAAGAGGAGCCCGGCCACCCGACCGGCTTCTTTTGTTTTTGATTGAGAATGGACTTTCTGAATTTGGCTTTATAGCGTTTGTTGTGAATATGAAACATACAGAGAGAACCCAGGCCTCTGTAACCCCGAGGCCCAGAGCCACGGGCCTTCCTGCTGGCTGTTCTAGGCACATTTTCCAGCTGTGATCGGCCCCTCCTGGTCATTGGGTTACTGGTGTGATGTGGCCTTGCTTGCCCTCCCCGCGTCTCTGCTTTCTGGCTGGAAAACCCTAACCCTGGCCTGCGTTTTGGGCTACTGCTCCTGGGCGCCGTCACAGCTCGGACGCCAGAACTGACTTCCACTTGGATGGACATGCTGTTACTCCCTCCTTTCCATGCGTCCTTTGCTCAGAAACGTGCCAGGTGTTTGGGGGGTGGGGGGGTGCCTGGCTGGGGTCCGGAGCCCTCCCTCGCCTGGCCTCCCTTTCCTTCCATGGCTGCCCCAGTCTGGCCTCGACGAAGGAAAGGGAGGGCTCCCCAGGAGAGAGGCTGGGAAGCACTCCCTTGAGCTGAGGGGAAAGGCCTGGGGTCCTCTGTGGGCCAGGACCCGTCTCAGACCCTTGGTAACTTGCCTGGGTTATGTCTTTTGAGGACGGAACCCCCACAGCAGCCCCGACGGCCGCCCGCACAGTGGCCTTCGCTCTCCACCCCTCCCCCCGCCCGAAGCACGGCTCCCTCGGGTTGGAAACCACCGCGTCGGGGGCGCCTGAGTCAGGCGCGGAGGGAGAGGGAAGACCCGATCCCCGCTTGGTTGGGTGGGGGGTACCCTGCTGGCAGGGGCCAGCGGGGGTGGGGGCAGGGTGCTGGAGAGGACAGGGCGGGCGAGGGCCTGCTCCCGGCGGGGCGCCGCCGGGGGAGGGGGCACCCTGCGGGCGCGGGCGGTCCCGGAGCGCAGGCGGGGGGAGGGGACCTCTGCGGGAGGCGCCCGCCCCGCCGCGCCCCGCCGCGCCCCGCCCCGCCGCGCGCAAACTTTTCCGGAGGCCGAGGGGCCGGCAGGTGAGGTCACGTGGCCGGGGGCGGAGCGAGCCGGGCCGGGGGCGGACCGCGCGGACCCCGCCCCTGCGCCCAAGTCCCGCGGCGCATCGGCGGAGCGCGGGCCGGAGCGCGGAGCGAGCGGGGAGCGCGCGGGGAGCGGGCGCCATGCCCACCAACTTCACTGTGGTGCCGGTGGACGCGGGGGCGGACGGCGGCCCGGACGAGGCGGCCGCGGCGGCCGAAGGGGCCGAGGGGGCCGAGGCGGCCGCGGCGGCCGAAGGGGCCGAGGGGGCCGAGGGGGCCGAGGGGGCCGAGGGGAGCGAGGCGCCGGGCCCCCCCGAGGGCGAGCCCGACTGCCAGAGCCCGGGTGAGCGCGGCCGCACCTGCCCGCGGGACAAAGGCGGGGCCGGGCTGCGCGGGGCCCGCGGACGGCCGGGAGGAGGGGCGGCCCGGGCGGGGTCTGGGGAGGGGGCGGCCCGGGAGGGCTACTTTCCACGCACCGTTCGCATCCCCTTCCCTCGGGGTCCCCCCAGCGGCCCCTTTTCCTCCGCTCGACGTTTCTCCCCCACGAGCCCGCTCTCGACCCCCGCACCCTTGCAGCGGCCTGCAGAGCCCCGTCCCCAGGCTCGTCCCGGGGGCGCAGGGCTCCTGCCGCGCCCAGGGCTCCCGGGGCTGCGGGTCCGAGCGCCGCTCCCGCTGGGCCGCCGCCGGCTCCTTCCTCCTCGCTCGCCGGGTGGGACGCGAGCGGGGCCGGGACGCCCGGGGTAGCTATGGAGACGGGGAGGGGCCTCCCCCTGCGTGAGAACGTCCGGGCCCCCCGGGTCCCGGGCGGCCGCGGCCAGGGCGGCCCCCGTGCCTTCCTGCTTCCTTCCTGTTGCCTTTGCTCTGCTCTTGCGCGCTGGGGCAAAGGCCTCCGGCCCGATAAGCCCCGGCCGAGCGCCCAGTTGTGGGCACCGCCTGACTGCCCACGGGCCCTCTCTTCCGCGGGGTCATCACGGGAAGGTCGGCGGGTCCCGGCGGGGCTGGGGGAGGGGCCGCCCATCCCAGCGGAACCGTGCTAGGGCCAAGGGTCCTTCTCCCCCGCCTTTGTTTCTGGAGGTGCCCAGCGCTTTCACTTTCTTTTGGGGGCATCCCCCAGGCCCGCTCCTTCTGTCCTCCAGGCTCCAAACCCTTGGGTCACCTCCGGTAGCTACTCTCTAGAACTGGGGGTCGTGGGAGAGCAGTCCACAGTCGTGGCTCTCCACTGTGTCTGGGCAGAGGTTCCCCGTTCCCATGGCCCAGACCCCTGCAGGCCCCCTGCCCTGGCTGGCAGGGCCGGCCCTTCTGAGAGCACCCACCCGTGGGGTGCAGCCCCCTCCCTAGGTGTCCTTTCCTGCCTGTGGGGTCAGGCCCCCATCCAGCTCTCTGTGTGTGTCCTGGGGCCTGGCTTGAGGGCTCCTGACAGGAGGCAGGTGAAGAAGGCAGGGTCTGTGCACCCGGCCTTTCCTTGTTTGTGAGCGCGCTCTGGCATCGTCCTCCGGATGAGCCGTGTCCTCGCAGCCTCCAGACGTGCATCGTGTTTCCAGAGGAGGCTCCCTGTTGCCTGCCCCGCTCCCCGTCCACTGGCCCCTTCTTGGGCCAACTGGGGTCCTTTCTCTCCAGATTTGGAGTGGGTCTTGTTTTGAAGCCGGGGTAATTTTCTTCCTGCTCGTTTCCTTGTCCCTCCACTTAGGAGCTCTATGTTGGGCTCTGGGGCCTGTGGGCTTGGAGCCAGGTGCTGCGGCTGCCAGGAGGGCTGGGCGGCTTGCCCATCCGGGCTGGTGGGCGGCCGGGCTCCTGAGCCCCCAGCTGGCCTCACTGAGTGCCGCCTGCTCTCTCAGCTTTCGCCCTTTCCCTTCCTGCCGAGGGCTCTCCTGGGATCTCATGGCCCCGCGTGATGTCTGGCCCAGAGCGTGGGCACATGCGGATGGGGGCTTCATGCCCCCCCCCCCATGAAGCCTGCCCTGTGAGCCGCGCCTGCACAGAGGTCATCTGGGTCTGACATTTTGTGTGCTACGCTCTTTCTTGTCCCCCGGACGGTGGTTGGGGGTGTGGTGTCCTGCGTGTGTCACTGCACTCGTGTTTTGGGGCCTCTGCTAGGGTGGGCATTGCCGTTTCCTCTCAGGTCCCGGAGTGCAGTTGGGGCTCAGAGTGACCCTGTGACTGGCACCGAGTCACCAGCATGACTAGGGGCCTGGGGAGGCCAGGCCGGAGCCCCTCCGTGCACCCTGGGGTCTCCACAGCGGCCACATCTGGCCCTGTCGCGGGTTTGGCCAGTGCCCTGGGGAAGGTCCTGGCTTTGTGGATGGGCCTTTTGGAGTTGGTGACAGTGAAGTAAGATTCAGCAGGCATTCCTGGGGTGTTTCTGGAAGCCCTGAGTTGTCTGGAAAGAGGAGTCCTGACACTGGAGGGTGAGCTGAGAGTGTGTGTGCTGAGAGTGACTGACGGTCGGGAGGAGCGGCACTGTCCTGGGCAGTCTGGCATAGCTGCGCGGGACCGTGGGGTCTGCCCAGCCTCAGTGAGGACTGGTGAACCGTGGACCAGAGCTGGAAGGAGCCCGAACACCGCCCCCGCCCCCAGGCTCCTGCTCCACGCACCCTAGGCAAGCGCTGTGTGTCAGGCGCAGGGCGAGGCCGGGTCCTGTCTTCTGGCCGTGGGAGGCCCCCCCAGCTACAGGCCTTCAGTGCTGAGGCGGGAGGAAGCCTAGCACTGACCCTAACTGGCCTCCGCAGGCCCATGGCTGGCTTCAGAGCCTGAAAGATGGGAAGCAACAGCCAGTGGTGGTCCGTGGAGGCCTGGGCAGAGGGAGGCTGGGCACGCACGGGGGGTGTGGAGGCGGGATCCGCAGCGGCTTCCCCACCCTGGGCCAGTGGGGTGGGGTGTGTTCTGCAATGACAGGTTTGCCTTCCTTGGGGTCCTGTAGGTCTTCCGGGACATTGGTCCTGCGTTTGCTTGTGATTAGTGATCGCAAGTGGGAGGGGCTCTGCGTCCCTCTGTGCTGTGTTTTTGGAGAAACGTCTTTAGGAGCAGGGGTGGTGAGGATTAGGTTGTCTTCCTAAGTCCCACGCGTGGGGTTTTTAGCCGTGTGACTGGTGGGCCTGGGTGGAGGCCCGTCTGGGCCTTGTGGGTGGGCCCTGGAGCGGGCAGGTGTGCAGTGAGGCGTGACCACAGGCTGTGGGCCCGGGTGGAGGTCGGGCCTCAGCCCGCGGAGGCTGGATTATCCGCCCTGTGTCCTCTGTCCCCTGCTGAGACTCTCTCCAGCCTCCTTGTCCTGTTGGTGACTTTTCTGTGGCTCGGCTCCTCTTGGGCACCCAGGGGTCTCTCCCTCACCCTCTGAAGTGGGCCCGTGCTTCCCGGAGGCACGACCCAGACGGTCCCGGGGAGCGTTGCCCATGCCCTGCCAGGGTGTGTGGCAGGCCGGCCATCGGGCAGTGTGGGCCGCACTCTGAGGTCACAGCCCCGGACCTCACGCTGTGGTCCTGTGAGCGTGTGGCTGCTGGCAGGCTGGGCAGGGCCTGCGTGACTGGTGCGGCGGCGGAGTGAGGACAGCGTGGCTTCCTCATGGTCTGGTTGTGCCGGGCGAGGATGTGGGTTTCCGGGAGGGAGGGAGGTGTCACGCCGGCTGTGGGAGCAGAAGGGACCGGTGTCCCTGCCATTCCGTTGACAGAGCCTTGGGTGCTGCAGGGAAGGCCACGCCGGCTGCGGGGGACAAGCTGTTGTGGTCCCCAGGCTGTGTGGGAGATGTCAGTGATGGCCGCTGGTGGGTGGGGGCCGCCACAGCGTTCTGTGTACCAGAGGCGGTTGTCAGTGGCAGAGGAGCAGGAAGCGGAAACACCGAGCAGAGCGTGTGGCTGGGCGCTGGCTCCCCTGTCCTCTAAGCACCAGGTGGTCCCCTGGGGACAGGCGCTCCCCTTGAGTAAGTCCCCCTCAGAGCCCACGGGTGTCACACACCGGTCTTTGGGGCGCACGCATGTTTGCTGTGTACACATGCGGGCCTGTGTGTGTGCATGTGTGTGCATGCCCATGAGGTGGGTACGGGGGCTTGGTGGTCGCGCGGTGTCGGGCTGCTGCCCTCAGTGGACCCGCCCGTGGAGTGGCTGGAGGTGTGCCTCCAGGGCATCGGGGCAGGCTTCGGAAGCAGTGGTGAGACACGTCTGTGCCTCTGATCTCTGTTCCCAGGACCTGGACGAGGAGCCTTGCTGCATAGATCCAGGTCTGTGTTGTTCTGGAAAGTTCTCCAGACCTGAGTTTGTTACCCGCTGTGCTGGAGCAGATAGCTGAGCCGTGGACACCAGTGGTGGTGGTCACTGCTGGGCAGGGGGGTGGGGTGCGGTGTCTGCCCTGAGTGTGAGCATGAGGGACGCCTCCGAGGGTCTGGCTCCCAGGGCAGCCGCGCACCTTGGGGTCTGCTGGGTGCTGGTGACCGGCCACTGCCGTTTGTTCTTTGAGCCTGTGGAGTCTGCAGCCTGGCAGGTCCCTCATGGCCTTGGGTGCATTGGTGAGCCGAGCAGTCTGTGGTCTCCTGCGGGCACAGAGGCTGCAGAGACCAGCACGTGATTTGTGGTGCACTGGGGACGATGGAGAGCCATGAGGTGCTGGGCACGAGGGTTCCAGCAGCGAGGGTGGCCGGGAGGCAGGGCAGGGCCCCTCTGGAGACCATGTGCCTGGGGCCTCTGTGGCCCTTGCTGTGTGGCTTCGGACGTTGGGCACATCTGAGCTGCAGCCTGCCCGTAGGCTGGGGGTGTTCTGGAGCCTGGAACTGGGCCGTCCTGGGGCTCACACCACCCACCAGTTGCTGCTCTCAGTAAGGGGAGCTGTGGCCAAGAGCGGGAGGCAGCTGACCCCACAGACGGAGCCTCTGCTCCCTCCGCGTTCTCTGGTGACGTGGGCACGTGGGGTTGTGGCTGTCCCCGCATTCAGGAGTCAGACCGTGGGATGGGGACGGGACCAGCAGCCTGCCCCCAGCGCTGGTCGGGGCGTGAGCCTGCCCCAGACGGGCGCGATGCCTCAGGCTCTGGAGCCACGGGACACTGAGCTGGCCCAGGGGAATTCCTGGAGGGGCCAGCAGGGGTGGGGCCTCACCGCCTCGGGAGGGGCGCGGGCTGGGCAGCTCCCAGGCGTCTGGGGCCCCTCACTGAGGCCTGTTTCCAGGAAGGAGCAGGCTCTGAAGCGACAGGGCTTGGGTGTGGAGGGGCCGCCGTGCTGTGCGTCCTCCCACGCCCTCAACTGCCCCTCTGCGCTGGGCAGACGGTGGGGTCGGGTGGGCCTGGGGAACCCACTGGTGGTGCCTCAGTGGTGGGTGTTTTGGGTCTTGTCGGGGGGCAGGAGCCCTCCTCGCCCTTGCTGAGG